TCATCAGAGCTGATGGGCAGTCACTTGTCAAGTGGCCATTCTTTGGCAAGGAAGGAGGACAGGAACAAAGATCTGCATCTTAGCAAATAGCACCATGGAACCTCTTTCACCAACAGACTCCTTGACACCAACTTCACAGCAGCAGTGAACTTTATCTAGGGTAACCCTCAGGAAAATACATTTCAAAGGGTGACTGAACTATAAAAGTAAGGGGCAAAGCCACTCCAAGGTATCTCTCACCCCTCCACCCCCCAGAAGACACAAGGAACAGCAGTTGGACTTTGGCATCAGATCCTGGCCTTAGAGTTTGGCAGCAGTGTTACTGGAAACACATGGTAAGGAGCCAAGTCTACTTTGTTTAGTTTTAGTAGTAGGAAGCATTTTATTTTTATTTCTCTTGTAACTATTTCTGCCTTTAATGCCTTATACTTGTACTCACTTAAAAGCTGTTTCCTTGTAGTTAAATAAACTTGTTTTATTCTTTAATCAAAACTAATCCAGTGTTGTGAACTGTGTGAGTAACTCCATTTAGGGTAACGCACTATTGTATATCGATCCCCTTAGAAGGCCAACTGACCTAATATACCTGGACTGCCCAGGAGAGGAGTGGACAGTGCAGAACACACCGTTTTGGGGAAAAATTCGAGAGTGGGAGTGTATTGGGGTCACCCTGCAGGTAGTAACCCAGGCTGGTGGAAGCCAGAGTGTGGCTGGTGTGTTACTGACAGACTGCTGGGGTCAGCATTGCTGACCCAGGACTGCAGCTATACACAGACACTCAGGATGTGACCTACATGCTGTTTATGAGTGGCTTGCTTGGGAGCTACATCAGCAAAGCATTGTGAGGTACCCCAGGTTGCAGGGCAGGGGTGACACAGCCCCTCACTGGTCTGGATTGCACCCTGGCATGTCATACAACATATCTCGCATTTGCAGCTCACAGTCCCATTGACAGAGTGCCTCCGTCAGCTGCTCTTTGTTTAGGTTTTTATGCTGTGATTGAGATTTCTTGCTCTGCTTCGATCTCTGAGCTGTTGCTCCTTTTTAACGTCTTCTTTTGCCCTCCTCTTAATCTTACCCTGGAAAGAAAGAAAGAAAAAGGGGGTTTCTCTCTTATTCCGCGCTCTCCACCCACACAGTGTCAGCTTGTGCCCACCATTTCCCACGCCTTAGGACTGTAGCCTGACAGGGCCACACCTTCTGGGAGAAGACGCCATAGTCTGGACCCCTTTTGACCAAGAATCCCAAGCAGCGTAGGCATCAGGCATTCTTCCTTCACTGCCCCTTCCTGAAGGCTGAAGGTGGCCTCAGCTCTTTGAGGCAGTCTGAGTGAAATCTCCAAGCAGCCTCAAATCAGGGTGGTAGTAAAACCAGAGCTTTTTGAGACGGGGATGTTAAATTAAAACCAAAGAAATGGCATACACAACGTATCTGGTTGTACACCACAAAAACTGTTCTTACATGTGTTATAGGAAAATAAGCAAGGTCTTACCTTTCTGGAAGGTGTTCTACCTCCCCTGGGACCCTTTTGCAGGCAGCATGTCAGAGGCTATGTCTACACTGCAAAACACAGGCATGATTGCAGCATGTGTAGGCATACGTGTGTTAGTTTTCATTTCGCTAGCATGGGTACCAAAGCAGTGTAGATGTGGTGGCACAAGTTAGCAATCCAAATACATACCCAGGGTCCCCAGAGGGCTTGTACTCAGATTGGTAGCCCATGCTGAAGACCGCGTCACCGCATCTACTCTGCTACTGTTACCCATGCTAGCTAGATAAAAGCTATGCCTACCCGTGCTGCAATCACCTCACTCTGCAACGCAGAATACCCAGACAGACATTTTTTTTTAAACTTCCCTCTTGTGGCCATACCCACAACAATTGTTTCCCAGCCAACCTCACATCTCATTTTCAGTGGAACACCCCACACTCCCGGGGCCTGTGCCCTTCTTTCTAGCTTCATGACTATGTTTTTACACATTAATTGACCTGGGTGGAGTTGCTAACTTGAGTGCAGCTCATTGTTTTGCAACTGAATTTAAAGAGGGGGCTCATATAATTCTTATAATTCTCTCCGTGTTCATTTTCCTCTTTATCAAATATAAAATGGTAGATTCATGTATAAGAATATGATAATAGCCCTTTAAATAATTTGTGAGCCCTTTAATGGTGCTCTCTATATTCTGTATTTTAGAACCTTCCAAAAATCAGTCAGAGCAGCAGTAGCATGTACTTAGGCCTGGCATGTCAGTTTACATATAGTAAACATGCTAACGTGTCATGTCATATACACAGAAAATTATACAGTAAAAATAATACAGATTTAAAAAATAGGACTTTTACTGAGTACTCCAATATTGGATACATTGCACAGGTATTTGGGATTGAAGAAAAGACTTAGCATGCCTTTGGCTCATTTCCTGTATGGAAAACTTTTAAAAGATCAAGCATAAGACTTAAATATCTATTTATAATGAAAGTTACAATTCATCACTCCTGTAATTTGTGCAAATGCGTTCCAAATTCTCTGATAGGACACAACTGAAAGGAAGTCTGGCTTTCTCTAATTACACCTTCATTGCCCTAATTGAATCCAGTTTTCAAGTTTGCTTGCTCACTGTTCTATTTATCTTATTCTTTGATTAGTACCCACTTTAAAAAAAATACTTAGTCTTAACTTCCCTTGCAAGTTGAGATCCGAGAGTGGGGATGCTCTTTGTTAACCATTCATTGTCAAATTCCACTCTGTTTAGTCAAACAGTATGTACAAAGTGTGACAAAAACAACCTAGTATTTTCTGAGAAAATAGTTTAGATATGTGTGCTATCATTCAAATATCAGATATTGAGCGGGGGGGTATTATAGTTATAGTAACTAATTTACTGTCTCAGTATGCTCCAGGAACACCCAGTAGAGTGCACTTCACTTGCTGTTCTCCTGAATATGCCAAGTTCTTTTGCTGCTGTTTATTTTTTTATATTGCACTAGGGCAGAATCAGGGCCCCATTGTGCTAGGCACTGTAAATGTATAGTGACACTGACCCTACTATCATGAACTTCAAATCCAAAGGGCTAATATTCAGTGAACTAACCATTTCCCACTGATTTCAGTGGGATGTCCATGGACTCTAGGGGTTACCATATCAACACAGACTATCCATCATTTAGCCTGGAATTCTGTCTTTTCTGGTGGCTGGGATGTTTCAGGGAAGGAAAAAAAGCCATAATATATTTAATGATTTCCACAGCGAGGTATGTGGGGAAGAGGCAAAAGAGTTTCGTCCTGACTCTCCTGACCCTGAAGTATGAGGTTTGTTTGTCTTATAATAATCAGAAAGTGACAGTATAGCTGGAAATAAGAGGATCAGCAGCCGATGAGTAGGGTTGTAATCACTGGGCCAATATCTCATCTCATTTCCACCAGTTTTCTATCAGTATAATTCCACTGACTTCAGTGAGGGTGCTTCTGATTGAAACCACTGAGAGGAGAACCATGCCAGCTATATTCAACTCACTGGGCTTAATAACATCAACATGCAAGTTATTGGTTAGTATTTTAAGCAGAGCAGTTTATGGGAAGACAAGCATCAGGTGGCACTGGTGCAGAGGGGTAATGTTTGAGATGTCCAGAAAAGTCAGAACCAACATCAATGCAAATCCTTTTCTGAGGTTTGAAAAAGTTCTGTTCCCCTCTCATAGTTATTTGTATGTGTGTTTCTGCACTTTTTGGCTCTGATTGCAAAAATTGCAGAACTGTCCATGTATCATGAGGCTGATTTAAGGTTATTACCATCATTACAGTGAGAGCAGAAAGAGGTAGAAATGAGAGAACTTGTCCATAAGATTTCCAGACGAAGTTTTCAGACTTGGGAGGTGCAGATAAACAGTTGATATTTCAGGTGCATCCGAAGAAGTGGGCTGTAGTCCACGAAAGCTTATGCTCTAATAAATTTGTTAGTCTCTAAGGTGCCACAAGTACTCCTGTTCTTCTTATTTCAGGTGTTGTATCCAAACTGAGTTTATAAACCTTTTGAGATTTCCCTATTGGAAATTAATAAACCTACTACAGACCTGACTATTAAAATGAATTGGTCACTATGGAAATGGAATTGGCCTCTGCCTAGGGTAAAATTTTCAATAGCACCTAAGTTCCCGTGACTTTTGAGGGGATTTAGGCATATTTGAAAAGTTTACTCAATCATTTCCATTGGCAGTTGTTTTGTTTTCACGAGCAAACCACAGATTGACACTACTCAGTATGATTGATAGAGTCTGCTGCCATGAAACCCTGTACTAGGCGATTGTAGCAGTTAAGGGATGAGAAGAAGGCATTGTCTGTATTAGGAATTTGCCTCAATTTGAGCAATTGATGGCAATCCACAGAGGTAGTTAGGCTGTAGCAAACCCCTAATGCAGACAAGTGGCAGAACTATGGGGAAAAGGGTGGTACTGGCATAGGCCCTGCCTATGTTATATTTGACTTTTACCAATACTTTGTTTCAAGCATTATAATTCTCTCCACACTCCCATGCCCAGTGTGGTCAAAGCTAAAAGTTAATGAGTTAGAATGTTTGAATTACATTTTAAAGTAATTACCCCATTTTGATGCAATTTGACACCTGCATATTAGAGTACTGGTTTATTGTATTAAATGATCATTTTACTGCTTTTCGTAAATCACGCTCCGACATTGTTACATTGTGCTATCTTTCACTGCTTTATATGATAACCTAGAATCCCAGACCATTTTTATCTGAATGGGTTTTTCTCTGCAAAATACTTCAGATGAAGCACCCTGGCAGAATGCCATGAATGTTAATCATATATTTGCAAATTAAAGTGGTGGATGAACTGGAATGATCCACTTAATCATTTTCTACCACTGTTACAAATAAAATGCCATTATTGTTTCCAGGTCAAATGCCTTCCATTGAAGGATGAATTGATGCCTGTTTGATATATATAATTTATTCCTCCTCTCTTTCCTCCCTCCTTTACAGACCAGATGATGTGCTGCTTAGGCGTACCCACGATGAGACGGTCCTCTTGCATTGCTTTCTCTGGCCTCTGGTTACTTTCCTGGTAGGAGTCCTAATTGTGGTCCTGACAATCTGTGCAAAGAGCTTGGCTGTCAAAGCAGAGGCAATAAAAAAGAGGAAACACTCATAAATGGAAAAGTCACTGAAGGAAAAGGAAAAAGTTGTAAGAAAGTCGAAAGTGGCAAGTTCAACATACCTGCACCTCTAGTGCACCCAGACATGCCCGTTGCCAGGGTCTTATTGGGCTTTGGTGTTGCTGATGCCTGAGGATTATTCTTGGGGACAGCTTTACGAAATATCAACTAATTGCTTCTTCTGCTATGACAGTAAACAAGAATATTCCACCAAAAGATTCTAAACTGCACCAAATATGCTGTACTGTATTAGACTAAACTTGAACAATGGCTAATTTATCCAGGTCTTAGATGTACTGAGGGACAATATCAGAAAACCCGAAAGGTGGTGAATTTCATCTTTGCAAAACAATCTTTGTTGTTAGTATTTGGTATTAGATATTTAAAATATTATTTACTTTATCATAGACCGTATTTCTGAAATAATAAAGGATGGTGGTTTTGGTTTTTACCTTTGTTCAGTTCAGTTTTTTTAATGTAAAGTTCTAAAGTAACATATTCCACTGATTTTATTTTTCTTCACTGTACTGGAGAGTTTCATTTTGAAATTGACATTTTAATTTGGGTGTAGACAAAATTCTTCTCTCATCCTCGGTTTTTTATCTTGCAAAATATTAAGATCCCTGAGGAATTTTTCTCTTGTAACTGGAAAACAAATAACTGATTTTTATTTGAAAGAGGAAAACAGTGCTGGGAATAATCCTATTGACTCAATAGCATTCAGTCCTTAGCAGTTCTGTAGTATTCTGTGAGTTATCCTATTAGCGTTATCAGCTTCACAAAGTGGTGATATAAACCACACACACATTGTTTTGTAGTAGAGATCCCACTAAGATGCTGTGTGACACTTCTAATCACATACACCTCTACCCCGATATAACGCGACCTGATATAACACAAATTCTGATATAACGCAGTAAAGCAGTGTTCCGGGGGGGGGAGGCTGCACACTCCGGCGGATCAAAGCAAATTCGATATAATGCGGTTTCACCTATAATGCGCTTTCACCTATAATTTTTTGGCTCCCGAGGACAGCGTTATATCGGGGTAGAGGTGTACTTAAATTAGAAAGTTCTATGAGCCATGCAGTCACTTTACATCACTTTGTTCAAGTGATGGTTAAAAGAATAAGATCTCAACTTTTTACAGGCCCTTAGTGCATGTAACTAAACTACCATTGTCACAGTCACTCCATTGCTGTGTACAGCGCTAACAGTCTCAGCAAAAGGATGTTTTTCAACATCAAAAATAAGATGTCGTAGTAACTGAATAACTCAATATCTACTTTCTGTATCTTACCCTGCCATTTCCAACTTTCAGCATCGTAAACCTGAGGGATATTTATCCTAGTTGGGTTAGAGAATAAACGTAGGAGGCACATTTTAGTTCAATGCAAAGCTCTCTCTACCTTTGCCACAAGTCTTATTAATGAGATTCCACTTTTCAGTATGTTTCTGATGTTCATCATATGATAATATAGTAGATTTTGAACCTTCATTAACAAGTCTGCAACTCTAAACCTGCTTTTTATTTTTTTAATCTCTGCCGTTCTTAGTGTTGATTTAAATATAGAGATCTAATTTGTTGCTTCCGGGCTCATTTGACAATTATCTGTAGAAATGTTTCCACAAGAAAAAGCCAACGACTTTAAACCCTAGGAAACGTTCTGTTGTCATAAGGTGATTCCCATTGTCTATTATCCTTTCAGTGGTTATTGTATAGATAACAATCAAATAGTCAAATACGTTAATAGCTTTTTATTTTGGAAATTAGCATACAATGGGGACAGCATGGGGTAGGACCCAGAGCTGTGATTTAGTAGGCCTGCAGTCTATTCCTAGTTCTGCCACTCCCCTGGTGTTTGATCTCTAGGATGTCACTTAATCTTTCTGTGTCTCAATTTCCCCTTCTGTCAAATAGGGATAATGTTACACTTCTCAATAAAGTGCTTTGAAAGCTAGGAATGAAAAGTGCTATATAAATGGTGTATACATTATGCTCTGCTCAAAGACTCATTCACTGGGAAGTGTACCTTTTATCATCCTCCTCCTTTAGGTACCGTCTGAGTCTGAGGGGGGGGAAATTGCCATGATGAATGGAGGTTGTGATTTTTTTCAAACTGCCTATGGAAGTTTGGTACCTTTTGAAAATACAAGCCTGCTAGTTAGCAGAGGACATATCTTTTTATTCAGTGACAGTGTCTAGATTCCATGACCTCTGTTTCATGTGCTGCAATCCTGTTGCCTTAGCAACACACTACCTTAGCAACAAACTGAACCATTCCATGGGTTTTATTGTCACACTGCAAATCAGAGAAAATTGCTGTCTTTGGGCAATTTTGCCATTTGAGTGAAATAGTGGCAAGCCCACTTTATATATGTTTCCATTGACACCCACTGGGAATGACTCGCTACAGGCAGTCTATATAATCTTCATTTGATGCACATTAAAATATCTTTTTTTTTCCCAAAGGAGATAGAAAAATGTGGTGAGATTCATCCAGAGTTTGAGGCAGCAGCTTGGTTCTCATAAATCCAGATTAACTAAATCCTCTCTATCTTTGCTATAAAAGCTCTTGTGACTGAATTGTGTGGCTGATTCCTTGAGCAAAGGTAAGGCATGAATTGAATCCCTGTAGTCAAACTGAGTTTGTTCGGACATCACAACTGTAAACCTGCTAGAATTGTGACACCACTGGGAGTAAATCACAGTTATCAGGATGATACTAAATCACCTTTCATCTTGCAGAGCAGTTGCAGCATGAGTAAACACAGAGAATTCAATTGGAAAGCAAAGAAAGGCAGTAAGTCTTTTTCCAGCATGCTCTACAGGCTGTGGAATAGTTGAGGAAAGAATTAATTCTTCTATCACAGCCTTTGCGTTGGTGATATAGAAATTTCCATCTAATCCCTACTCTTGATGACTGCCTCTCGGGATTTCCTACCTTACGATTGTTTTTATTGATTCCCTATTGAATTAATACAGGGGTTCTCAAACGGGGGGTCAGGATCCCTCAGCGGGTCATAAGGTTATTACATGGGGGGTCATGAGCTGTCAGCCTCCACCCTAAACCCCGCTTTTCCTCCAGCATTTATAATGGTGTTAAATATATAAAAATGTGTTTTTAATTTATAAGGGGGGGGGTCACACTCAAAGGCTTGCTATGTGAAGGGGGTCACCAGTACAGAGGTTTGAGAATCACTGGCTTAGTATATTTTCCAATACTTGTTGCATATTCTCCAGAGATCTCCTGCTAAGAAAGCATCTAGTTTTAAGCAGATCAGACTGGTTCTCCATTTCAATCAATATTTATATTGCCACTACTTTGAAGGACTCTGGTTCATCATGCTCTCCAGTGCACAGCTTTATAAAAAATGTGCATTCTCTTTCATGGGCACCAGTTTGTTTATATAATATTCAAATCCATTAGCTTCTTATGCTTATTTTTTATAAACCTCATATGAAATGATTTGAACATTGTTTGTTTGTTTGAGCCCATCTTCTCTGACATTATGTTTTGCATGTTTTTGTAGTTGTAATAAGTTAATAAACATTCAGAGGTGGATTAGAAAAATTAACTGCTATGTTTAGAAGCTTAACTCCATTTACATGAGCAGGAGAGGCATTTCTGTCTGCGTAGCATTGAAAAGTAAACATGCACACTCCGTAGTGTAAATATAGCCCGTTTTGAGTAAAATGTGTGTTCTGTGCATAATGGGTTGGAATTTGAGAGCATAGTCTGTCTCTTTAAGGCTGGGTCTCTGCTCAAAAATCAGCTCTGGTGAGCCAGCGGGAGGTTGCAGCAGGAGTTTGAACTACTTAAGCAGTGGTCTGTGTGAGCTGTGTTGCCTTGGGTTGTTACAGGGTTACCCAATAAAGAGTTCCGGTTTAGACAACATTCTGGTCTCTTGAGTGTAATCTCTGGTGAGGGAGGACTTCACTAAAGCTCACCAGCAGAAAAAAAAGTGGCATACACCAAAGGCCTGAGCTATAGCCCGTTCCAATGGACTGCGAGCTGGGCTCTAATCAACTGAAATGTGATAGCCAAGCATTACAACAAAACAGTCATTTGGATATTCCTACCTTCACAGAGTGGTTAATTCCTTTGGTGAGAATTAGACACCATAAAGATGATGTGACTGGATTTTCTCAGTTTCTAATGCTGTGGAAGTATAATGGAATTTTTAAAGCTGCTCTCACCTCTTTTGTCCTCTTTGCCTCAGCTCCAGACATACAGAAATTATCCTTCCAGTACCATATATGTACACCTACAACTGTGAGGCATATCAAACAAATGTCTGCTTTTGGTACAACAAAAGGTCTATATAGCTTGCTTATCCTCCAGCGTCCAGATGACAGAGCAAAAGGAAAGATCTTGTTTTAATAAGAGAGATGCCAAAGGGAAAAATAGGTTAAACGTCTTTAAATCCCTAGCAAATGGACATTCTTTATAGCGATTAAATAAACTTCAAGAAGTGCAAGTCCCTGGCAGCAAGAGATGTAATTCCTATCCATGACACAAAGAGTAATAGATGTATTTAAAATGTTTAAATGTATACCAGTGAGGGAATAATATAGATGCTGGGATAGTGTGGACTGCATGTTTATAAAAGAAGTGGATTGCTAAAGATCTTTTGTCAGTATTGTAAATACATGTTTTTGAATAACAAATATTAATTTTTGCAAACTTTAAACTGTCTACAAATATTTGAGGGACATAGGTGAAACAGAAGGAATTATCTAAAATAGTGCAAAAAGCATCAGGGAGAGGTTTATAGTAAGTAACCTATTAGACTGTGGAATAGTTTCTCAAGAGAAGTGACAGAAACTTCATAGCTGAAGTCATCTAAAACATGGAGTAGGTTTGCTTCCATATTTAATTTCCATGAAAATCAGCAGTCCCTTTCCTCAGCATGGAGCAGCTGCCAAGCCTCTATTAAACTTAAAACAAAAGCCTTCCCTAATTTCGTCATCTAAAGAAGTTGTTAAGATGAAATGTCAGATTAACTATCATCTGTACCAATGGAAAGCATAAAAAACATGAACAAGAAAACCTTGGAAAGAATGATTATGTAATCAATCAAACTGTCTTGGAAGATCACAGCCTTGCTGAATGGCTCAGACTGGATGTTTACGCCTAACTGGGAGAGGGTAGGGGGGTGTACCATATGAACCGATGTTCTGATACAAAAGCGATTGCCTACATGTGCAGTGTTTAATTCAGTTGTATCATTCTAATGGAGGTTTGCAATCTCATACTACAGAAAACCATTTTCTATTTATTATGCATACATCCTGTAGATTTAAATAGGGTTACCATACGTCCGGATTTTCCCGGACATGTCCGGCTTTTTGGTCCTCAAATCCCATTCCGGGAGGAAATTCCAAAAAGCCGGACATGTCTGGGAAAATAGGGAGCGGTCGTGGGGCTTGGGTCTGGGCTGGAGCCGC